TCATCACGCTAACTGGTGGATTGAAAGTAGAAGCAGCTGAAACATAATTTATCTTTTTTTTTTAATTTTTTATTTAAAAATACAAACATTCCATGTTGTTTGGAAACTATTTCGAAATATGGACTAACACTGTGTCGTGAGTATAAAAACAAATCTAGTTTTAAGCAAAGAAATGAAATTAAGAAGAGCACAAATTAAGATGGTGACTACTGCAAAAGTTTAATAACCTCATAACATTGTACTTTGTTGGATTTCACTTCTACATTAAATGGCTGTCATTGTTTATTAAGTTTGATTGGTCAAGGCATCTCAGAGATATGCCACAAAAAAACAAAATGGCCATCAGCCAGTCATTTTGAATCTGATATGAAAACACAAAATATCATGCATTAAGGTCCCATAATGTCCATTTTATATACTAGTACCATGTTTGAATGAAATCCATCAATACAGGGTGACCAAAATCTGGTTCTGGAATGGGGGGGAATGCTTGATTTTAATTAAAACATTAAAATTGCTGCCATCCCACAATTGGATTGTGAAACAAATCGATGGGCATATGCCTCGCAAGATGCACATACAAGATACAGGTGGGAGATGAACTGATGGATGCACAGAGGTAGATACATTAGTCCCCAAATGTGAACTGATTATTAAAGCTATATGACCTAGCAGATTAATATCCGCCTTTGTTTATATGTCTATCACAGAGAACTAATAATTAAAGGTAAGCTCCCACACACAATTCGAGAGCTTGAACTTCAGTACTTGATTAGGCGGACACATACATTTCAAGACTAAATTTTTTAAATGCTTTTTAACTGATTGAAATCAATCTTTAGGTGAATGTCAAAGACATAGAGTCACAGTGACTTTCACCAAGGTTCTGAAGACAAAAATCAGTGATTTTAACTAGGGATATGAAAATATATAGTCACAGCAACTTTCACTAAAGTCTTTAGCACACAGAATCACAGCGACTTTCTCTGATTTCCGAAAGATCAGAATCACTGTGACTTCCACTGGAGTTCTGTGAACACATAGTCACAGCAACTTTCACTGAGTTTCCAAAGAATATAATCACAGTGATTCTCACTGGAGTTTTTTGAAAACACATAGTCACAGCGACTTTCATTGAGCTCCTAAAAAACAGAATGAGTGATTTTCACTGGGTCCTGAAAACACATACATGTAGTCACAGCAAAGTTCATTGGGGTCCTAAAGACACACAGTCACATCAACTTTCACTTGAGTTGTAAAAACACATAGTCACAGCGACTTTCACTGAGCTCCTAAAGAACAGAATCACAGTGATTTTCACTGGAGTTTTGAAGAAAACATAGAAATGAACAAAACCATGGTATAAAAACATTACTTACTATACTTAAACACTGGTCCACTCAAGTGTTTTTCACTTCCATAGATGCATAACACTAATTGAATTGCTTTATCGTAAAATATTAAAAATAATTACTGCAAGTTAGTCCAATATATCCATATTTGGGCACTGAATTAATAGCCCAGACAGAGAAAAGATTGAGATATTCAACAGCTGATGTGAATGACTGAGGACTGTGACTGAACAGAATGCTACAGTCAAATGAAAATAAACACACATAGTGTTTTATTTATATTTTTCTTGATACCAAGGTCTCCTATGACTGACAGGTAACGGATATCTCACCACAACTGAAGGTCATACCAATTATATAATATGAAATAACACAGTAACAAATCAGGGTCAGTCAGGGAAATAGTGAAATCTGGTAGCAGTGAAAATTTCCTGTTAACATTTATGTTCTTTTCCACGAGAATGTTGTGAAAATTAAAAAAAAAATTTATGAAAAACTAGAAGCATTGTCACATTTGTTTGTTTGGTTCAAAATTAAGATTAAATTTAGTGAAAATTACAGAAAAAATTTACTAAATGGAAATATTTTGTGGGTGCCTAAAATTGGCTTTAGTATTCAGGGGGGTTAAACTCTGCTGCTTGGTCCCAACAAGTATTATGACATTTTACCGTGCCCAGAATTGTCAAATATTATTGTTCAATTAAAAAAGCAAATGGTCAACATTGAATATCTGTGCATGGTGTCAATGGCATTATGTACAAGTCATGCATGGCACAGTCCCCGTTAGTTATCGAATTTAAGATATATAGTTTTGTTTATAGTAATATAGCTGGAATATAACCATGTAAGGAATATGATTATGATGTTAAAAATTAAAATGATTGACATTTGTATCTGATCGTCAAACAAGTACTTGTCCATATTGAGAGATATTGTTCTGGAACAGCATTAATTAAAAGAAAATCAGTCATTTTGAATACATGTATATATTTATAACATGATGTATAATGAATATATAAAATTTTAACATAATCAGACAAAGCATGTCAGAGCTATAGCTCTAGAAGCCCATTCATTAAAACAAAATGGCCGCCAGTCTGCCATTTTGAATCCGATCTGAAAAATAAAATGACGTGCATCAGGAATACATAGTGTCTAAAGTATGTACCAAGTTTGAACGAAATCCATCCATAAATGCCAGAAATGTTTGATTTTGATGATTTTTCAGCACAAAAATGGCCGCCGTTCGGCCATCTTGAATCAGATCGTGAAACAAATTGATGTGCATATGTATGATATTATATATGATGTATGTGTTAAGTTTGAATGTGATTGGTCCAAGCATGTCTAAGATACAGGTCCGGACACACAAGGGTCAAAACATAAGTCCCCGTTTTCGCACTGCATCCAAACTGGGACTAAAAAGCAATCAAAAGCAAATGGTCAACATTATATCTATGCATGGAGTCAATGGCATTATGTAAAATATGGCCAGTGGCCTACATATACTCGGATGAAGGTAAGATTTAGCATATATTAAACCAGCATCAGTTTTTCTAGTGAGAGTAGAGTATCAGCAGCAAAAAGCATTCATATCTATCATTCTCTAATTCTATTATTGCTAGGTATCAGTTTCAAGAAAGTCTTCAATTTAGATGAGCGAGATGAGGCTTATTTGGGAATGTTACACTCTTTACCAAGGGACTTACAAGAGACAATTAAATCCACCATAATCCTTGAACGTGTGTATGCTGTACAGATGTCTGGTCAACACGTATCATAATCATAACCTGAACATGATTCCAAATCATTAGATATCTAAAAATAATTATATTATTGTTTTGTTTTGATTCAAACAAACATTTGAGCATTTGGAAATACAAAATTATTAAATATTAAAAGGTTCATACAATCAAATTTATGTTAGTGACCACCATCTCATCATTTTTGGTGATTGTAATGATTTGATGCTATGAAGTTTAGTTTAGTTATTTGCATAATGATATTGATACATTGTCATGGAACATCTTGTGGGTATTTAGACTCAGTTCCAGGCCTAGCAGTTGAGCAATAAACACCTTGGCTACAAGTGCTCCTCTCCTA